CGCACGGGGACTCACATATATACACTCTCCTCCCTCCGTATATATATATATATGTATATATATATATGTGTGTGTGTGTGTGTGTCCCCCCCCTCTCTCTCACACACACTCTCTCTCTATATATATATATATATTTTCTAGAGAGAGAGAGACCCCCCCACAAAAAAAATAATATATATATATATATATATATATATATATATATATATATATATATATATACTACTCATATTTTGATTCATCATCTCTCTTTCTATATCGAAAATTTATTTAATTATCTGCTTAAAGTGTTAATATCTGCAAGAAAAGATGGGGCTACTCTCTCACAGGTACATATGTAGTTTCTTATAATTACATTTTCTTAGTGTAGTTACAATATATGTATCTATGTATCAATATTCTAAATAATATAATAATCCGGAAATTCAGATTTTCGAATTACCTGATTCTTTTGCTTTGCTTCGATATTGAAATACATATGATCAGATTTCGATTTTTTTTTGACCTTTTTCCAGTTTCTGAAAATATTTTCAAAAGTTCGTACTGTTTTTTTTCGAAATTACGGTAAGTAATTATGATAATTTTGTTCTTCTTATAAAAACAACTTACGCACATACAGAAATAGAATCAAAAGGAGCAGTCTCGAAGTAGGGGATCACATCTATGCATGGCGCATCGCTTATATTTATTCTCATCATGGTTAGTTTTCAATTTTCATTCTCGAATTATAACTGATCCGATCTGATGAATTACTTGATGAACTAATTTTCCCCATTATTTCCTTGAGTTTCTTGATTTCTAGTATGTATACTTTTGGGAGTAAACTGCAAAAAGTACCCCTGTGTAATCTCTAAATAGCGAAAACCCCCTATGATAAATAAACTAGCAAAAACTCCCCTGTGAAATTATTTAAATAGCACACTCGACCCATTTCTTATTTGAGTGTTGACTTCATATAAAATGACACAAATACCCCCGGGATTTTGCAATTAATAAATTCTTATGTTTTTTAAATATTTTAATTATTTTATTTTTGTTATATCTTAATTATAAAGGTACAATGAGGTTTTTAATTTATTTTTATTTTTATTATCACATAATTTTTGTATATATTTTAAATTATCGCTACATCAAAAGAAAACTTTAATTCCATTATTATTTATTTAAAAAAATCTATACTTAATTTGATTAACAAATTTTTAATTATTTTTTAATTTAATTATTTACTGTTTTTAACAATGTTTTAATTTCTAAACAATCAAATTAAAAGAAAAATATATATACATATAATATATATACATATAAATACATTTTTAGGGTCAATTTCGTTATTTCACGTCCAAAAACCAACTACCAGTCGTGCAACCCGTGAGTGAGCCACACTTAAGTCAACCGGGGGTTTTTTTGCATTTAACTAAATTTCACAGGGGGGTTTTTGCTAGTTTATTTATCATAGAGGGGTTTTGCTATTTGGAGATTACACGGGGTACTTTTTGCAGTTTACTCATACTTTTGGAGTATACAAAGTATGTGTATTTAATAATGAATTTTTTTGAACAGTCCAGTAAAATTGAAAAACAATGGCTATGTTTGGTAAGCTTTTGGGCTTTTATTTCCATTTTATTCTGGAGAAAGATGTTTTAGGAGAAGAATTTGAAAATAAAATAAAGTTTGTTTGTGTTTTGAGAGGAGACAATTTGTACTGTGGCAAGTCAAATCATATCTAAAATGTGTTGGAAAAAGTTATTTTGAAAGAAGAATTTGAAGGATAAAGTGATTTTAGTTTGTAATTTAGTGAAGACAATTTTCACTGTAGCAGTCAAATCATGTTTGTTAGATAGAGAAAAAATTGAATTCTTTTTGGGGAAAGTTTTTGAAAATATTTGAAAAATATAATTTTATTTTGAGGAAAGAATGAAAAGAATTTGAGAGGCGTAACAAACATAGCCAATGATATTTTTATTACATGTAGTCAAATTGCTTCGCGCCAAACAAATATATTCATATTTCACTGCACCTACTTTTTGAATGTTTAATTTTATTTCATGTACTAAACTAAATAAATCTTGTAGCTACTAGCATAGTCTATTAACTGTTCAAAAAAAAAAAAACTGTTAAGATTCTAATTAATAGTAGATCTTTAAATTAAAAAAAAAAAGAAAACAGGAAAAAGAAAAAGGTAGTAAATAGCATTTACGCGTCCTGTGGTTTAACCATTTTGCACATAATTAACTTCACTGTACTTTTAATATAAACACATAACCCCTGTATAATAAATAAAATATTATTATACAGGCATCTACATTGGAGACGACACAGTCATACATTTCACAACACATGGTGTGATCTCCTCAAGTGTGGATGAATTCCTAAGCTTCTGGGAAGTGGGCCGCTCCAAACTGCGCCGCTACAAATACTCCTCGAAATGCTCCTCCGTCGTTTTAAAACCAAGAGGCACTTGTACCACCGCCGCCTCAGACGACGGCGCCACGGTGGTCCACCGGGCGAAGAAGCTCCTCGAGCATGGGTTCGGGAGCTACGACTTGGGCAAGAGAAACTGCGAGAACTTTGCAGTTTACTGCAAGACGGGGCTGCGGGTTGCGAACGGTGGCAGCGGTGAGGACATAGCAGGGCTGAGCGCACAGGTGGCGTCCTTCACCTGCAAGGCCGTCGTTGGCACCGCAGTTGGTGTGCCCCTTATTCTCTTGGCCGCCATTGCCGCCACTGCCGGCACCGAGGGTATTGTGGTCATATCGGTGCTGGCGTCTTATGCCGTTATTTTCGGTGGGGTTGTGTATTACTGTATACGGCGATGTGATAAGGACATTGGCATGAGGGATGATGTGTATGTTGCCTATTAATTGCTATCTAGCTCCCCATTGTTCCTTTTATTTATATATATATATATATATATTCTGTTTGATGTTTATGCATGGTTTGTAATATTTGTGTGCATGTTTTCCTTAATTTGTAATATGTATTGTTTCGTAATATATGTGACATTTGTTTAAATACAATAAAATAAAAATATAGTATATTTCAAGTTGCCGAAGTTATTTGAAGTTATGTAACTAATTATAATTTAAGATATTTCATTCACATCAAATACAAAAATAAGTTTAAAAGATTTCAAATACTTCAACTATGTAAAATAATACAGTTATGGCTATTCAAATTGTTGAACTATCTATATGTTTTGATAGAGGTTTTTGTTCGTCATCATTTGATCCTGAGAAATTATGATTGCATCAATGATAAATAAAAATAAATAAAAAAGAAAAACCCTAACTAAGCGAGCTCCGTAACAGAAATCCAAATAAGCGAATTCCATAATAGAATAAATGAATGAAGACCATATAAGAAGTCTATGATTGCATCAATGATAAATACAAATAAATAAAAATAAATAAAAAAAGAAAAACCCTAAATAATTAAGTGAGCTCCATAAGAGAAATCCAAATAAGCGAATTCCAAAATAGAATAAAAGAATGAAGACCATATAAGAAGTCTAATTATAAGTGAGGAGATTGGGAAAGATTGTCTGCAAATATGTGAAAAAAATCAAAATTAATAAATTTATCTGTAAATTCTCGAAGAATTTGGGAAAGATTTCAGAGAGAAAATTGATGAAAAATTCTAAACGATTGGTAAAATCAACTTATATTGAGGTAGTGTTTACAGAAGCTTTTAGAAACACCTTTTGAGTGTTTTTTTTTTTTTTTTTTTTTGCTTATAATTTGTTTTTAGGTGTTTAAACAATCAACTTTTGCTTGTATTTCTCTTAAGTTAAAAGCTGATTTAAGCTATTTTCTAAAACAACACACATATATCTGTTTTTCTATTTAAGTTGATTTCAAGCATATTTGTAAATATTTTCAATTTTTAGAAATAATCACTTAATATATATTCACTTAATTCACAATCAATAACTTCTACTTTTGAAAATATCACCTAAGAACGGTCGCAAAAAATAGCTTAATACGTGTCGACTCAAGACTCGTGAGGCTTATATATTAATTGGGGACCATTTCGGAAATTAATGTTGTTAAATACTTTCAATCCCTTCCCCAAATTTTTGTAACTCTATTTTGGAATGTAATATATCTCCCCCTTGCACCACATTTTTTGAGCAATTATGAGATATATTTAATTTAAATGAAGCTTCAACGAATTTTACTTCATATGGGGTTGACTACATAGACTATAGTCGTCGACTGTATCAATCATTATTTTTCGAGTGGGGGTTATAATTGTCCTTTTTTTCAATTTAGATGAGATCGAGTATTCAAATAAAAACAAGCTAAGTGCCAGTCCCTAATTGTCCATTTTTTTCTCGCTGGAATACCCCTCTTAATTATGCTTAGAAGATTTTAAATTTAATTTTGTAAAAAAAAGTTAATAACGAAATTTGTTTATTCTTATGGATCAAACAAATTAATTTAATCCAACAAACACTAAAAAAACATCTTTTTAGTTACAACACTTATTTAATTAATTACTTAATCAAAGTAATTAATTAATTAATCAAAGTGAACAAAAAAGAAAATCACACAACGCTGTGAAAGGGGTGAAGTCGAGAGGGTAAATACTTAGAAGGGGAGGTGTTGAAAGCGGGCGACTTCTTTGGATTTAGCGCCGCCCCACTCCGTTTTCAGTAAATAAGGCATAGCAGATTTTTTAAAGGGGAATATTTTTCGTGGTGACTAACAAAGTGGGCTTTCTAGCACCTTATAAATAAATAAACAGAAATTTGGCCCATTTTATGTTTGGATATTACATTTATATTATGACTTGACCCAAATGTTGGCCCATTAAAGTGTTAACGTCACATGTTATTTCTTATTTAAAATATAAAATAACGCTTAGAACTATTAAGTTAATTTCAAATGTATTTTTTTTTTTATTAGAGGTCGAATTCGAAATATAATATTGAATGACAACGAACAATGTCGAATCCAGTATCGATGTAGCTTCATTTAATTACCAGCCTAGACAAGTTCCCGTTTTTTTCAATGGAAAATTTATCAATAGGACAAATTTCGGCCACTCCCTTGAGGTAAGATCAAATTATTTTAAAATAAAATTGTTAAGATAATTACAGCTACCTCTTAACTATGTATTTCCTTACGAAAAAAACCTCTCATTCAGTAAGTAAATTTGACACCGTAAAGATGGACGTGTAAAACAATACGTAGCTGATGAGAATGTTTGTAACCACCCAAACAGGAGAGTGAGTTACGTAATTTAATCTTAACTTATGAGTTGGTCATAATATATACGAAAGAACGTTTTATTTCTCTTTCATTTGAAATTAATTAATTCCAAGAAAACAATTCCATTCTACTTATAGTTCTGTATTGTAGAGTTTGTATTTTCCGACAAACCTATTTATTTATATTTTCCCACTCTCGTATTTCCACCTTTTTCAAGGGTGTGCAAGAATTCCAATCTATAAAGAATTATTATCACATGTCTTTTGTTTTTTTATTTTTACTTTATTTTTATTTTTATTAAGTTCAACCCTTTCGAAATTCAATTCATGAAGGACGAAGCAATGTGGACTCGTTAATGTTGTGATGGATTTGGGACCGACATACGATGTGGTTCTCTCGCTCTCATTGGTCGTAGACAAAAATCAAGTTGCCCACTATTCCTGTTGTCCCAATTCGATTACATTTTGGGTTATTACGCACATACATATTAAAAAATTCGACAAATGTATATATAAATTATAGTAAAAAAATATAGAAAATTACTAAAATATTTTCACATTAATTATTTTACAACTAATTAATTTCAGAGTAATAAAGAATAAAATTAAAAATAATGCGATTAATGCTTTCATTTGAAAATTTAAAGTTACTAATTTGAATGCCTTTTTATAAACTAATTTGTTCGTGTGGGAACAAAAAGAACATGGCAACATTAATGCAGGAATCAACTTTTAATTACTTTTATCAGTACAGTGCAAACTCTTTAAACTTTGTATTTAGTTGACTAATTATTAATTAACCCGTATCGTAATTAATGAGCAAACGTACTTTGTATAACCGACACATTGTATTATTTTAATATTTTTCACATGTGACCAACAAAAAATTCCAATTAGATCAATGGTGATCTTGTTCATTAACACAAGTCTTGGCCGACCTTTTGGAAGTTTTGTGCCGACCGTTAGGTGAAAAATGTCGAGTTACCGTTAACCCGAGCATGTATTTAAGAAATCGGCGATATGTATACATGACGAGAAGTTACATGCTACATCTGATTATTTTACGCTGAATGATTATTAATTTGTGTTATGTGAAGATCTACAATTAACAATAAATCAAAATTAAAAAGGAAATCAGGATGGAAATTGAAATAACATTTTTCGAATTTCATCAATTTAGATAAGAAAATTTATGACTTTACAATAAATATTAAATAAAATCATTTCGTTTTTTTTTAAATTCAGATAAAATTCTGTGTACCGACTTCCATGATTATTATCTTCATGAAATTATTATACCATGATTAGGTTTTGACCATTATTATTAATATGGGACCCAATTACAGGCCACCACGTGTCAACCCTGGAATTTCTTAGTCCAATCCCCATTACTGTGTCTGTGAGGCTTTCATACTTTCAAACTTTTTTTTCTTTTTTGGTATTTTCCCTGTAATTATTAAATTAATTTTTTTTTGCCAGATTCCACTTGCACTAATCAATATATTATACTTCTTATTTAATTTCAATCACCATTGATTACTGTTAATGGTGATTAAAGAAGCTTAATAGAATTGCTGTCAGTCCGACGAATATTATATATAAGTTCCCCAGTGAAGTTAATTACGAATATTATTTTCATTTAGGAATCACATTAAAAGTAATTTTGATATTCAACTTTCTGGAGAAATTAACTACTCTCATTATCTAAATGAACTGATATTCAACTTTCATACGGACATAGGTATCAAAAAATTAACTACTCTCATTATCTAAATGAACTGATATGTCAATTTCAAATATATTTATACTTATATTTAAAATTGGGTAAATTACAACTACCCCAAATGTATGATTAAATTATGAAAAAAACATTTATGTTTGGGTAATTACAACCATCCACCTCAACTAAAAATCTTCTTAAATGTCCACCACTGCGGTGTCAAATTTAATGGAATCGTCTAGATTATATGAAATATTTTCAATTTTGTCATTCAAGCTCCACATTTTGAAGCAAGATGATCATAAGATGTGTTTTTTGGCTTGTCAATATCAAATTGTGGTGTATTAGAAACTACATTTTTTTCACAAAACGAGTACAAAGTAGAGAACATGCCACATAATCTAGAAGATTATGTTGAATTTGACACCATAAGGATGGAGAAGATTCATAGTTGATGGTAGAATTTGATATTACCCAAATATGAGAGCTGTTTTCGTAATTTAACCATACCACGGGGAGTTGGTAGTAATTTATCCTTTAAAATTTAATAGTCTATGTAGTGATTGTGTTTGGAGTAAATGGGTATCAAAATAATAAAACTAGTATCAAATTTAATATTTAATGATCAATTTTAATGTTTTGCATCGTCTACCACAACCAATACGCTAATATCAATTAAATAGTGTAACTTCAAACAGTGGATCAAAATAAAAGAAAGACCTAGCTAGCTAGTAGGTCGAGTTTTATTGGTCTTTATTAAATACAATTGAGCTACAATGCTAAAATTAAGCCAACAACAATCTGTAAAGGCTCAAACGTTCACAAAGACTTTGAGGTCAAAATATTTATAATACATTTTAATTCAGATTATTTTTATTGTCATACACGTCACGTGTATCGATCCATATATATGTTATACATATTTTCATGTATGTTTTACTCACAGAGAATGTAGACCCTTAGTCATATCTCTTGTGACTTCAATTTTTTTTTTTTCTTTAATCTTTCTAAATATCCCTTTAAACCCCCATAAAATGGAAATAACGAGTTAATAACTAATTCTAATGTAAGTAAAATCCTAAAAACAACCTCGATTTTGACATCTACGTATATTTTTTTCCCAAATACTAGACACAATAAAATTAACTTATGATATATGGCATACACGACATGATCAGATCGATCATTGCTTGAATCCAACATACAACACAAGCATAAACAGCGAGTATTGATCTTTAAGCTTTTTCATTTGAAGTGAAATTGGTCTGGAACTCAAATTCGTACATCCTGATCAGAAAAAGTTCTATCAAAAATTATAAATTCAAAATATTTTAATTCTTATTCCAAATCCGCCCCATGCCCTTTATCACTTAATAGAAATTAATATTGGTACATATGACCATACCATTTCATCAATTGCCCTCCTCAATCAATTAATCTCTTTCTTCTTTATTCATTACTCAAACCTTCAAATTTTGTGAGTCATTCTTTTCCTTGTAAAGTTGTAGATTCCCCACTCTCATTCTTTTTCACTTTTAATTCCTTTCTTTTCCATCTTTTACGCTCAAAACCAAAGTTTCTCTTTATTTCCGCACTGAAAGTGAGGGAATTAAATATCGAAAATAAAGTATAATTAAATATTTTTCAGGAAAAAAAAATATTGGAAGTGGTTTTAATTCTCTTAAGTCTTAAGCTTGAATGATCGAAAATAAAGAGAATGTATTTAATTTATAATTTTTATCTAAAGTACTATTGGAGTCAAACTTGCTACTAAAATAGTTAAATGTGTCATTTAATTTCTGGTTTTTTCCTAGAAAAATCAGCCCAATCACTTTTGTGGGTTCACATATGCTTTTAACCCCCACAAAGTTTCTTATATTTACATTCAAATCCATCTACAGGTCACTAATATCAGAGATATTATTACTTAAACGAGGCATTAATTAATGCCTCAATTTTGATTTTTTCCGCAAATATAGAGTAACTTAAGAGAGGAATCAAATATTCCCAACAAATTTAACTATCAAATTATCATGTCACAAGATGGCATATAGGATCGGCAATATATCTGGGCCTAACCGAAATCAGAGGCTCGATCTGATTATATTTGAGCTGAGTCTATTTCTTAGTGAGTTGGGTTGAATTTGAGTCATCTTACTAAACTCGATTTATACCTGAGTTGAATTTTAGTCTACTGCGTGGCTCAACCCGAATAAGGTCTGACCGAATAAGTTAATAGTAAAGTATATTATATTTATCATTTTAAGGATGTGGCTCGACATACAAGTTGCAACTATATAGAATCATTTTATTTTGCAAAAAATAAAAGAAATTAAGTGGTGGCGCTGGCAATAGATAAAATAGGAATCAAGTGCGACATACCCATCCAAACCCAATTGCTGAAATTTATCACAGAAATTTTGAGAATATAAAACGTTTTGAGTAGTAAGAGATACTAATTTTTTATTTACCTAATTCTTTCTTGTTTGAAAGTTTTTCAATAACTCATTTACAGTTTCTTTGAATTGATTTCAATATAGGTAAATCTTGTTTATCACTTAATTTTCATAAAAGAAGAAATCTACTCATTACAGTTCTATAGCAAAAGAAGCCCGATATAAACCTAAAAAAATACATGAGTCAAACTTGAGGAAAAATCCGATGATATGTGAATTTGAACCTATAGTAACAAAGTCCGATGTTATGTAAATTTAACTCAACACAAACTCAACTCACATAGCACAATTGCCAGCTCTAATCGCATGTGTATCTAAATACCTAAATATTTTAAAAATAATTAACACATTCGAGTATACGAGTTCAATAAAAGTATCAAGTATACTTTAACAAACTTCAAATTGGTTTAGATAATTACAGCCACCTGAGGTAAGGTCAAATTACGAGAAAAAAACTCCTCATTTTTGGATAATTACAACTATCCTCATCAACTATGAATCTTCTTACATGTTCATTCTAATTACAGTGTCAAATTTAGTGGAATTTTCTAGATTATGTGGAATATTCTTCAGTTTGTACATGTTTTATCCGATTCCTCCTCCACATTTAGAAACAAGATGATCATAAGATGTGTATATTGGCTTGTAAATATCAGATTATGATGCATCAAAATCAGTTTTTTTGAACAAAACGAGTACAAACTAGAGAACATTCCGCAGAGAATCGAAAAGATTATTTTGAATTTGATACCATAACGGCGAACGTGTAATAAAAATCATAACCATGAATGAATGTAACTTATAATTACCAAAACATGAGATGGTTTCGTAATTTAACATCACCTCATTGGGGCGTAATTTACCCAATTGGTTTTCATATGGCTAACTTTATTGTGCACCCATTAGTAATCTATATATATCCACTAATTTAATTAAATATTCAAAGCAAACATTAATTGGGTTCTTCCACCTTTAATTTCTATTTATAATTGAAACATCAATCAATCATTTTAAAACATAAAGTTTTATGCTCGACTAAAGTTGCCAAAATAAAAAATAATATCAATTTAACAATATTCACACACACACACTACACACAGTAAAAGGCACACACACACACACACAAAAAAGTCTCCCCCCATATCTTAATTTCTCAAGGCCTATATTAGCAGACACCCAAAGCCTCATCTTCTTATCTCCTCCACACCTCCACCTAAAAAAAAACCCCAAACCACCACCACCACCGCCGCCGCCGCAACCATGTCGGACAAAGTGTGCAGCCACCACAAGAGCAAGAAGAGAAAGATCCTGCGGCGGTGCTGCGCCGGACTGCTAATCTTCAACTTCATAATCCTATTCCTAATCCTACTAATCTGGGCAATACTCCAGCCCAAAAAACCCAGATTCACAATCCAAGACGCCACCATATTCAACCTAAACGTATCCGCCCCTAACGTCATCTCAACCACCGTCCAAGTCACCGTCAACTCCCACAACCCCAACTCCAAGATCGGCGTCTACTACGACAAGCTCGACGTCTACGCCACCTACCACAGCCAGCAGATCACCTACTACACCGTCATCCCGCCGGTGTACCAAGGCCACAAGGACGTCAACGTCTGGTCTCCGTTCATCTACGGCGTCAACGTCCCCGTCGCCCCCTACAACGGCATCGCCCTCGCACAGGACCAAACTAACGGCGCCATCCGGATCACCGTTAAAATTGACGGACGCGTTAAGTGGAAGGTCGGGACGTTTGTCTCCGGCCGTTACCACCTCCACATATCCTGCCCCGCCAATATTCCGCTTGGCAATAGCAAAAACACCGGGGTTATTATCGGCAACGCAGTTAAGTATCAGCTTTCCCAGAGTTGTAGTGTCAGTGTGTGACAAATTTAAATAATAATATTTATAATTTATAAAAAAAAATTATCAATTTCCGATTATATTTTAATTTCCGTTTTTTTTAATTATAATTTACTGGAGAAATTGTACATTTTTCTGTTGAATAAACTACGTTAATTAAAATGTTGTAATAATTAAGAATTTGTGCAATGATTATATCTTTGATTAGTGGGTTATTAGTGGAGGTTAAGGTGTCAATTTCTTGAATTAATTAAAAAAAGTTTTAAGTCCTCTGTTTTAATTTAATTAATGATATATATGCTTCTTCTTTACTCTAATCTATCTCGATTCTATTAATGATTTACTTAATTACAGCTTGTTGATATAGTTCTCCAGTAGTTGGAATATTGCTTTTAATTTTTAATAAACTTATTTTATATAGTATTATATAATAATAGTAATAATAATATTGTTTATTAAATGGAAATTCAACTTGTGTGAGCTGTATCTGTCTAGCAATATAGAGAATGGGCAGGGCATGCCATGTGATTTTTGCTCCTCCTATATTTGCTCTGCCAAACAAAAAAATACATTTTTTTTTTTAAATTAAAATTCATGGATGAATTATAAATTAAATGCAAATTGTTTTCTAAAGGCCAAATTAATGCCGCGGTTCCTGAGGTAAGCTTAAATTACGAAAAAGAAACTCTTATGTTATGATAATTGCAAGCACTCCTCAATCATGTAATAACCCAAATATGAAGGGTTTATTCATAATTTAAGTATATCTCAGGTGTTGCCGTAATTTGACGAATTCTAAATGAGGGTTTGTTTTTGTTTTTGGCTGTTGTAATTGTCATTATTAGTAATGGGAGAAGGTTATTTTTCCCTTCCATATAAAATTTTGCAGTTTAGTTCAATTAATATTTCATCAACTGCATTAATTAGAGAGAGAGAAAAAAAAATAGTTTTCAGGTTGCTAGAAACATTAATATGCATATATATATTTTTTTAATGGCAATTACTACATTTAGTTTGTGCAAAAGGTTATATTAATATATATAAGTTTGTTATTGATTATTGATTAAGAAAATGTTTGTTACAATTGAGTAAGGTTTGTAAATTTAACCTATAATTAAACTCGTAGTCTAATACTCTTTTTTTTATCACATAAATTTGTGGGAACAAGAAAAAGAAAAAAAAAATATATAGATTTGTGAGTTGCCGCATAAGACAAATATGAAATCAACTTTACATAAAAGATAAAGGGAGGCGTACCAATAATAGGGATTGGTGACCTAATGAAGTCGAAAATATTAATAAGAATTTAATGTTGCCTACATTATCATCACATAAAATTCCACCTCTTCATAATGTAGGTGGGTGCATCTCAATTTATGCTACGTTGCATCGTGTGAAATATACTGGATAAATATTTATTATTAATAAACACACAAACACATCCACACTTATATTAATGTATAGATCAATGATTAAAACAGAGAATTAATAGTGCATATGTATGCTATGCATTTCTAAGAGTCTTTGATAAATAAATAAAGGGATGTGATAAATGTTGTTTTAGTTTTCATAATGTTGTTTTGACTTCAAACGTGATTTTGACCATTTTAGAGTTTGAATTTGGCAAAATTCAGAATATGGAATTTGTAGTCCTTTGAGTTAGTTTTCTAATCTAATTTGAATCGCCAAGATTGGATGTCGGTTGAGAAAGTTATGCATGAATCGATGAACACTGCCCGCAAGTTTGATGTTTTAAATTATGTAAATTTTAAAATGTAACTCATTCATGCATAATTTTACCATCCGACATCCAATCCAACTGATTCATGTTGTATTGAAAAACTATCTCAAAGGACTACGGTTTTCGTATTTTGAATTTTGCCAAATTCAAAGTAGAAAATAGTCAAAGTCACTTTCGAAGTCAAAACTATATTAATAAAATTAAAACGACATTTAACATTTCAGATAAATAAATCACCAATATCATATTTAAATATATAAACTTTTTTTTGGCAATATGTTTTCATCCAATAATCACCAATTCCATTTAAATACAATCGAATGGATACATTAAATACCGACCTTGTTTACGGCTACAAGTCACATGGATTAGATCTGAAATATATATTTTTGAAAAATTCTAATATTTTTCGAAAATCGAATAGCACTTGTGATTCCAAATCGAACTTTTTCGGAATTCAAAAATTGTTCCTAAGCCCAAAATTTAAGGAAATTTCGGAAATTCCAAAAAAAAATCACAATTGAAACAATTTTTGGATATTTAATTGAAAATAATCATAACTTAATTGGAATTTTTGAAATTTTCAAAAGAATCACAAATAAATTGTATCTATTTTAATGAATCTTTATTTAATGAGCTAACTAAAAATTACCCACTTATTAAAATATAAAATATGTGATATATATATATTTGTATGTATAATATTATTTAATAAAATATCTCAGAAAGAATCGGATGTATCGGAATTATTTTGTCGGTGTCAAAATTAGATCGAAAATCGAGTTTAATTTCTAATATAGCTAACACCAATAATTCCTAATTTCAAAAGTTAGACTTAGAATAATGTGGAGAGAAGAGTGTAGGGGTCTGTCTTTCTTGATTTTCCGTTGTGTCATTTTCAGTGTCCATTGTTAATAATTGCGATACAGAAAAAGACTTTTAAATAAAATAATAATATCATTTTCAATTTCCAAAATATTTAATTTGTGCCAGGTTCATATAATAACTTTTCACTAAATACATAAATATGTACATATGTTGTGATTATGTGCAGATCAACGATTAATAATTAGGTGACTTATGTGTAGGCTTGGGGGCTTCCGCCCTTGCAGAATTTCTTTTTTCTTTTACCAGTTTTTTGTTAGTTTTTTATTTTTATTTTTGGTATTTATCTATTTATTAATGGACTTTGGCCTCTCCAAGATTTAAACTTTGTACATTTTAGTACAGAAAAATATTTTTTTTCTTCTCTTAATTTACATCCATATTTTGGCCGTTCCACCAAAAAACCCTTACTCCGTCCCTGTTAATAATCACTCGGTGTATTTCACCGAATGTAGCATCAAATAATTGCATGTTTTAAAAACCCACTGTCATTTACTATTTCTATTGTAAAAAATAAAGAAAGTGTTTTATGTTTAATTGCATTGAATGTTTTAATTGAATGTTGAGAACTTGAGATGAGTATTATAATTCACTATACTTGAGTAATGTATTTTATAAATTAAATGCGTTGATAAAATATAATATAAACAAAAATGGTATGGAGTATCCAACATAGGTTTCGATCGATCAAAACTAGGTTACAACTTACAACAGTAATTGAGCTTATGAATCCGGCCCAAAATGTAAGTTTCTTACGGGCGTGTATAAATAAAGTTGGCCCAAAATATTATGCACGTTCTTTTAACATTGAAAAATTACAATTTCCACCACTCGAGTTTGTATTGATTTCACATATGCCCCCATCCCATGTTCATAGAAAATACATTTGGTCTCTCATATTTCAATAATTTAACACTTTCCGTCAATTTATCGTTAGTCCATCAGATAAGACAGTGCTGGACACATGCTTGATTCCGTTAGTACTAACAGAAATTACTAAAAATGTTGAATTTCTGAAACATTATGGACCAAATATGTTTATTGTGAACATGAGTGATCAAATGTGAAATTGAGGCAAACTTAATGATCGGAAATCGTACTTTTTCCATATTATAAAAGAGAAGAGACCCGATAAATGCATAACGACTTTGATACTTGATTTAAAAAGTCAAAACCTAACATCCCCATCTTATTTTTCAAACATTTTTTTGGTCTGTTTTGATTATATTATTTTATCGTAACATTAATCATCAACGAATAAAGTTATCTTATTTAGAGCATAATACGGTTCAGAATGACACAATTTATACGACCAAATTTTACTTCAATCCAGTAAAATAGTTAAAATTCGAATTTCAACAACACTAGACGTAACGTAATAAGTGCAAATGGTAGAGTATAGTCGAGGTTTTTTTTTTTTTTATTATTTAGAGTTGCTGTTGGAAGGATGATGAATGGGTCGAAACGGTTGAACAATTGATAGAATATATCTTTTACTAAAAGTCGTCATGCAATTAACATTTCCGATAAAATAAGTTGATATTCTTTTTTTCTTATTACTTTTCAAGATTCTTCAATTTATTTTAGATTTGTCTAATTCTTTTAGATTGTAATCAAATTTTAAAATTTTCTTCAATTACAGTTTAAGAGAGAGAGAGAGAGAGAGAGCCACCTTGGCAATTTAGAATGTATCACACTTTCCAAACATAAAAGACAGAAAAATAAAACCCAGAAATCAATCCAACATTAAATTATAATCATTACAGATATCATAATCAAATACATTTGTCTAACTTATTAATACATAAATAAATTTCAAGTATTTCCATTTTCATCCAAACATACATTTGATACCAAAATTATAAAGAAAACAGTCACCAAGTATTTCATAATTAATTTTTCCAGATCCCCTTCTAGAACATATTTTTTTAATAAAAATCAAATAAACGTATATTATCTCTATTAGTTATAAAGTATATAATATTGCGACGCTGTCGTTTCACCTGCCACATTGCTCAATTACTACTGTTATTTAATAAAATTTGCTTCAGATACAACTAAAAAGAAAAAGGAAAAAACATATTCAAAATTTGAATTATACATTTATATTTTATACTGTAACGTAAAGCTCCTGCTACCAATTACTCCATGGGTCCCACTTTTTTTTTTAACAAAATGCCGTTTGGATAATACTTTCTCAAGTTTTGACCTCTTCTCCAACGGCCACTTTACTTTATCTATTATCTCTACTAAATTTTTTCCAATTAAATCGAATAAAAAAACCATGGAAAATCATAAAATATTATATAAACTCGTTATTTACTCACATAAAATATGAATAAAAATTAAATTGAAATTAAGCAGTCGAAAGGAGATTAAGATCTGTATCAGCCGACTGATAAACAAAAGAATAATTGAAATAGCAAAAAAATTCGAAGCATCGGAAAATTATTATATAAAAGTGCAATTATATATATATATCAGCGCCAATCGAAATCGCACCTCTGAGATTGAAAAGCCGCCGGCGCCGCCGTGGCGTTTGAACTCAGCGGAATTCTCAAATCGCAGTCGATCTTCGGCTTCACTTTGCTTGATTTCAGGAACACAAACTTCAATCGGATCCGCAGGTAGAGCTTCACGTCGATGCTGTAGGTGCCGGAGCTTTTATCGTCGTTGTATTTCGACATCTCCTTGGCTCCGAGGAGAACCAGATTCTGGCCTTTGAATTCGGCTCTCTGAGAGCTGGTGTTCTTGTGGCCCTGGTAGAAATTGGGGAGCTGCACGGTGGAGAATCTCTGCCCCTGGTAGAAAGCCCTAGCTTCGATTTGGTCGTAGTAGATTCCGATCCGCTTGTTAGGGTTTCGGATGGTGAGGTTCAGCGCCAGATTGAAGCGGAGCGTGTTGTTGCTGTTGATGGTGAATTCGGTGAGGGAGGCGTCGTCGGCGTAGAATTTGACGGTGTTCGGCCGGAAAATGAACCAGATGACGAGGACGGCGAGTCCGGCGATGATGAGGATGGTGAAGACGATCTGGCAGATGCAGGTGCAGATGCAGTTCATGATGCAGCTGCAGCAGCAGCTGAAGGGGTTGCAGCAGCATCCGCCGCCGCCGCCGTCGCGGCCGGGGCGGTGGTAGGTCTTGGACGGCGGCGGAATGGAGGGGCCGTAGTAGGCGCCGTTCAGATGCGGTTGTTGTCGAGTTTCTCCCATTGGTGGAGAAAACTTTTGGGGGAGCGGTTGAGGGTTTGGGCGTAGCAGATATTTTTGTGTGGGGTTCAGATTAAATAGGTTTCTAACTCTTTATTTGTACAATAGAATAAAAAAAAATTAAAAAAAAAAAAAAAAAAAAAAAAAAAAAAAAAACCATTTGTGTATTTATTGGGAAAACTTTCCTTCTATTTTTGAAAGCAAATTGGAGTTATTAGAATGTTTATCTTTTAATTAAGATGATTAAGATATATTAACATTTGAGATTAGATTATATTAGTCATGGACTAGGAGTCTAGGACCCATAATTAAATTAAATTCGATTTTATCAATTGGGAATCTTCTTGGACTTGTAGCTGTAATTGTGGGCTTGTAGTTATGATTTTGGGTTTAGGCCCATTAGTAGCAAATTATAGGAATTTGAAATCCAAATAAGTGATCTCGAATTGCATGGATTTTGCAATTAAAGATCGAGCTATCTTAATTTCATTCATACAAATCCAAACTGAGCAATTTGTTTAGTCTAAATAAAACAAAAAAAAAAAAAAAGTTTACCTAATGTACCTATGTGGTTGGTTGCAGATTCTTTAATTACTAAAAAGGAAAAAAAAAACGAAGCTCCAAAGCTATTTAAAATTTACTACATTTTCGAAGCAAATAAGAGTATAAGACAAACAACAAAACCCGGATATCAATCTCCCGTCGAATTAAAGAATCTCACATTGCATAAAAACCTTATAAATTGAACATTAAAATCATATACGTTAATTTGTCTAGCTTATATATAACATAAGATTGAAAAGCTTCTCAATTGTATATTCCTTCCTTCCTCTAAAAAAGAATATATATTCCTTATTTTGAAATTTTCCCAGATTCCCTTTTTCAAATATATTGTCAAAATAAAAATTAAAAACGACCAAATCATAGCACATATTTTGAAGAAGTATAAAACCTTTCATTTTTTATTTTTTTTATTTTAGTTTGACAATTCAGTAAATATATTAATATATAATCTTTCAAGTAAGCAATTTTTTTGTATTATCTCATTTTATTCCTTTTTATTCAAAGCAAGTTTATAGGGACGTCTGACCTGCCACATGCTCACTTATTAATATTATTGTCAACTTGTGCTGCCAATTCAATGTTTTAATTTACACTGCAACGTGAAGAAAGCCGTTTTTTTATAATACTCCTGATTATCTATATGATTGAATGGATTTGTTTCGTATATTTGATCAAATAACTACCAAATAAGTATACATATACACACATGAGTGTGTAATTATTTGTAGATTTATGGTTCAAATTCACCTAGTGTAATAACTATTTCTAAATACACCCGATAAAAAAATCATGGAAGTAACAGAATGAAAACTAGTCGTTATTTATTCACAAAGAACACGTATGAAAAATGAAATATGTATGATCGGAGGACGATCGTATAATTTCATGACTAAACAAAAGAATAATCGTATAGAATAGCAAAATGATATATAAGAGGTAAATCAACGCACACGAAAAAATCGAATTAAAGCAGTATATCGGAGAATATATATATATCGGAAAATGTGTATAAGTGCGATCAGCGCCAATCGAAATCACACCTCTCGGGTTCGTAAACCCCAGACGCCGACGCGGTGCCGTTGGAAGTCAACGGGATTTTCAAATCGCAGTCAATCTTCGGCTTCACCCTCCATGATTTCACGAACCTGAACTTCAATCGGATCTTCAGATACAGCTTCACGTCGATTTCGTATCTGCCGGAGATTTTCTCTTCGTTGTAGTCCTTCATCTCTTTGGTTCCGAGGAGGACGATTTGCTGGCCTTTGAATTCGGCGATCTGAGAAGTGGTGTTCTTGTGGCCCTGGTAGAAATTGGGGAGCTGCACGGTGGAGAATCTCTGGCCGTGGTAAAAAGCCCTAGCTTCGATCTGGTCGTAGTAGATTCCGATTCGCTTGTTAGGGTTTCGGATCGTGAGGTTCAGAGCCAGATTGTAGTGGAGCGTGCTGTTGTCGAGGGTGAACTGGGTCAGAGTGGCGTCGGCGGCGTAGAATTTGACGGTGCTCGGCCGGAAAATGAGCCAGATGATGAGGACGGCGAGTCCGACGATGATGAGGATGGTGAAGATGATCTGGAAGACGCAGGTGCAGATGCAGTTCGCGATGCAGCTGCAGCAGCAGCTGAACGGGTTGCAGCAGCATCCGCCGCCGCCGCGGCCGGGGCGGTAGGAGGACTTGGCCGGCGGCGGGATTGAGGGGCCGTAGTAGGCGCCGTTCAGGTGAGCTTGTCGAGTGTCTGCCATTGTTGTTGATTGATGTGAGAGAAAGTGTGTTTGGGGGTTTCAGATAAATTCAAAGTGGTGGTGAATCGTGTATTTATAGGGTCTATAATGCAATTTAATGTAAATTATTAAATATCAAATATGTACGCGTTGTTTGATTGTTTGTTTGTGTGTGTGTTGTTTGTGTGTGTGTGAATAAGAGAATAGGTAAAAGGAATTAAGGAACACGGTGGTGGCTCATTTTGATTTTTGGGAATTTTTTTTTATTTTTTATTATTATATATATAGATACAAGGTAAATTACAATCACCCTAAAGTATGATTAAATTATAAAAAAAAAGCCTATTGTTTGAATAACTACAACTATCCATCAATTACGAATCATCTTACGTGTCCACCTGATGATATTAAATTCAACATATTTTTTTACATTTCGTGGAATGTTCTCTAATTTGTATTCGTTTTGTGCAAAAATGCAGTTTATGATGCACTACAAGCCGATATATACAAGCCAAAAAACACATATTATGATCATCTTATTTCAAAATAAGGAGCTCGAACGGGATAAAACGGGTACAAATTTGAGAATATTTCATATAATCTAAAAGATTCCACTAAATTTGACATCGCAATGGTAGACATTGCGATAGACGTGTAAGAAGATTTATAGCTAAGAGGTGATTGTGATTACCTAAATATGAAGGGGTTTTTCGTAATTTGACATCACATCAAGAAGGTGGTTGTAATTTACGTTATAGATGTATGTTTTAATTTATTAGGGTTTGAAGTGTTGAAATTAAATTAAAATTGACGCGGTTGCTTGATGGGGATGATGTGCTATGTTTGTCTAAGAGGGTGTTGCTTGGTATTTACCTAGATATTGACTAAATAAGGGATGGGTCCCATTGACGGAGCTTCTATGGGGCAGGGGGCTGTTGCCCCCCAGAATTTTTTTATTTTTTTTACTACTATTATATATATATATATTACAAACCTATAAAGATGTAGTGCGATGATGAATAGTAACTTAATAAACATTTTGATTTTTTTTTCAAACAAAATCGCACGAAACGACGCCGGTTTAGGGGAAAATTTCCAGCGCAAAGCACAAATGCAATTTAATTTCGAATTATATTTAATGCTCTATTTATGGTCGGACCAAAAATGGTGGGCCCTTTTAATTTCCTATTCTCTTTCATACTCTCAACACTCGCACACTCACGCGCTACACACACGTCATTACCATTTCATTTAATTTTTCATTTTCTTTTACAAATTCCCACAAAACGGCATCGTTTTGGCTAGAAAACTCATCCCTGCTCACTTTCGGCCGCCGCCCTAATTTCTCCTCTGCTTTTCTATCGTCTGTCATCTCACTGTTGACGTTGTGCCAGAGGTAGGTTGTAGGTTAATTCTTTCTTCTCCTCTCACTTTGTTCTCTCTTGTTTTCTTTCTTTGTTATTCATTGCAGCGTTGTAGTTTTCCCCTTTCTCTCTAAAAAACGAGATACATTGGATTTTGCTCTGTTCTCTATAGGTGTTCTTTCATACGCCTCTATGTTATCTTTCTTACGGTATTTTTGTATGTTTATTTTAATTTTTAGGTTATTGTTTAGTGAATTTAGGTATTTTTTTGCAGGAGCGAGGCTTTTGTTTTCGTTTTCTATTGAATCTGAATGCCTTTGTTTTCGGCGTTTTCTGAATCCAGTTTTACTGCGTTAGTTTTGACAGGTTCGTGCCCTTCTTCCAATCATTTTATGGGGTGATACTTCGAAATGCTAATGGACGGTTTACTACTCTTCTCTGATTGTATTTATGTATGTTTGCTTGTAATTTCAAATTTGTTTGCGTGTTTTGTGCATTTTTTTTGCTTGATCTTTGTTTTATTCTTAATCCAAATTTTTTGGATTTGTTTTTGATTTTCTCCGATCCAGATTATGTACCTTTGTTTTTCGATTTTATCTGAATTCTGCTTTGGTGCCATTGTTTTTGTCAGGTTTTGGCTGTCTCTTTTATTACCATTTGGACGTGTCAGGTATATTTCTCTCCCTTTTTTGTATTATTCTTGATGCATTTGTGCATATAATTATGTGTATTTATCATGCAACTAAATATGATATTGTATCTTGTTAGACTTATTTTCGCAAGTTAAATTTTGTGCTTGTTTAGTTGTTATGTTTATTTGTATTTTCAGTTTGGTTTTTTTCATTTACTGATATGGGCCTTTGTTTCCAATATTTATTTCATCTTTAACAGATATGCTTGAAAATGCTAATGGAATGCCACTCAGATAAGCTCCTTGATTTCAGCAATGTGTGTTCTTGGGTAAATTTCTTTACCACCTCCTTGACAAGTAGTGATATATGTGCATTTTTAATCTCAGTGCGTACATGTTTGGTTTGTTTATTGGTTATTGTTTATTGATAATGATCTTTTTGCTCATCAGCAAAGTATATCATATATACTTTTTCTATGATATACTTTTCTATTTGTATCAGATACATGTGTCATTCTTTGTGGTTTGTTGTTGCCAGAAAATTCTAATTACTAAAATATCTTTTATTGCTTTTGGTTATATTAGTTCGTAGATGTTTTTGATGTGTTGATTTATAACTTGATTTATTTGGTGCTTATACCCATACTAGACACCTTTGTTTTTTATTTCCAATATTATTTTTAGATTAACAACTAACATAATCAAATACACGAAATGAAGCAGGTGATAACACTGGAAGGTGTAGCATCGTTAAGAAGGTAAACCGAACACTACTTCAGTAAATAGTAAATACGAAGGTTAAATTATTATTAGGAATCGAACGAGAACTAAAGATACCCGTAGTTCAAGTTAATTGGAAGCTGCTGAATAGAACATGACTCTTACGTCTTACTTGATGTTCAATTTTTACGTTCATGATATTTTTTTGAAGTTATATATTTGTGGAATTTTTACTTGATGTTCTCTTTTTCTTTCGTTACTATTTCTGTTTTTGCTTTATTGCATTTACCACCCCTGCATTTGCTGTATTTACTTCAACTGTGACAAAGCTCCTCATATTTTAATTGTTAGCAAAAACTCCCCTATTGTGCATTTTTTTAGCATACCCCTAAAAACACACAATTTAGGAGGTTGTGTGCTAAAAAATGCATCCTAGGGTTTTTTTTTTGTTAATATTTACAACAATCTCAAATGCTCAATGAATATTTCAGCAAATTCGATATAATGCAGAGTACTAAATACAATCTATTTCTATTTTTCAGTTAGATGTCCATTTCTCTTCTGAAAATTTAACTAAAGTCTTTTGTTTTTATATAAGCAAATATATTACTATAGTTTTGTTTGGATGAATCATTTCACTATGAATTTATTAGAATTACGTCTCATTCTGAGCCTTTGTTTGATTCATTATAGTGAATTTTGTATCTAATCTCATTCTGAGCTCTCGATTGAAACTTTTCGATTCAAACACATCTTAAGAAATGTTATGCTTACGAAGTTTTGATTAAATAACCATCTGCAGTTATAGTAGTTGTCCTAAATATAAAATAATCCTAATCTTGTGCCTTATGATGAATTAATGATACAGGATGAAAACGAGTGGGCTGTAGTAGAACCACTGCATCTTAGTCGAGGAAGGTACACAGACAATGGAAGATATATTAGTCTCTTCTTTGGTACCAAACTAACTGATGTAGTTATTAAAGGTAAAATTTAAAAAAAATGATAGTTGTATGTATTGATATAATATAATTATCTTTGTCACAAGATTTTGTGGTATTTGAATTATTAAACTTTTACCTGATTTTTTTTCCAGGGGATAATGACACCAATAATGGGCAGGGTGAATCCTGGTGAAAGAATTTCCACAAGGGAGAATTACAGTAAACTAGAGTCTAGACCTTATTCAATTATAACACTTGTTAACTAACCATTATGGAATGTTCATCCTGTCTATAGCAGGTAATCATGCAAATATCTGTTTCAATACTTGATTTTTTATTTTATTAATGCATTGAATTAGATTTTTTTTTTGGACATTCTTTGAAAAGCTTTTTCGATTTTCTCTAAATCCAGTTTTGATTTTGAATCAGAAGAGAGATTTCAAGGTTCGATTTCTCTTATAACGTTTTCGAAGTGTGCAGGTGACTACAAATCGTCTTCCGCAAGATGACTTATGGGTATATTTCTTTATTTCTCTCCTTTTTGTTTTTTTCATTGTTACTGTATTTGTGTTTTATGTATGTGGATATATTATGCAATGATATCTGCTGGTTATGTATCTTGATGGTCTTATTTCCGCAAGTTAAATTGCATGTTTGTTATGTTTATTTGTACTCAATTTTATTTTTTCACACATTGATATGGGCCATTGTTTCCTTCAGCTCCATTTTTTTTCAACTTTTTATTTCCTCTTGAGCAGATATCCTTGAAAATGCTAATGAGGATGCCATTCAAAAAAGTACCTTGATTTCGGCAGTATGTTTGGGTATATTTCTTTACAAACTCCTTGAAGTGCCCCGAAACATGTGTTTTTGTAATTACTATGCTTATAGGATTGGTTTGTTTTATTGATAATTATGTTTTTGTTTTCAGGAGTTGGTTCCATGCCGCACTTGCTACTTGTCATTTAACTCTGCTTTTATTTTGTTGTTTTTGTCTGTTTCATGTATACTAGAGTATTGTTCTCCGTTTGTAAAACAATCGAATTAATTCAGCTATAGATCAGCTA